TTGAGATTTGGATTTGGGTCACATAAATGTGCACCCGAGTTTAAGAAAATTAAATTATTAAAGGCACGCCTAAAGTGACTAGCGTATCATTTACTTTGGGTAGGGCCGTGGAATTTTGCTAAACGGTCCATCCCGAATTCTAAGTATTTATTATGACTAATTATTGAGGGCCCCGCAATTTGTATTTTTTTATTGGGCGAGGCTCGTCTCATTATTTTTTTTTAAGGATAATCTTAGAATGACTACATTTTCTATTTTTCGTTTTCTCCAAAATAAATGAAGAAAAGGTCCTACTTCTATTTACATACTTTCGAGTTATTATAGTTAAGTTTTGAAAGTGAGTTATTTAAAGAGTTTACATGGGCAGCGCATAGAATATTCTACATACAGACAGAAAAGAAAGAAAAGACTACATTAAATTACAATTTCAAATCTTTCTCATTTTTGCATTCATGCTTCGAGTGGCTTACAAGATGAACCAGTGTATCAGTTTGTCTACCTGGTATTTGGAAAGCAAGGAAAGAAGATGAAGATCAGTATAAGCAACAGTAGTGTGAATACACAGCAACAACAACAACCCAACAGCAGCAATTCGAATCAGATTCGAGGCCCAGAAAACTTTGAAGAAAAACCGAACAACTCAATAGAGCAAACCCAAAAGTTTGTAAACAAACTAAACATCAACAGACCACGCATGTATTAAACCCGAAACTAAACTCGTTTCTCACTTTGTTTTTGTTTTCTCTTTTTTTTTAAACTCTCTAACACTCTCTTATGATTTTCAGAATGTCTCCCTCTCTCAAAAGTAAACCTCAAAAATATTTCAAGTTCAAGTCTAAGTCTTCCTCCCTCAAGTCTTCAAGCCTCTCAACTATAAAAGTCCTAAAGCTCCAGTCCCCCCCCCCTAAAATGTGTCAAAATGACTCTATATATAACAAGACTCTTGTCTCGAATCCCCAACCCGAAATATTTCCCAATGGCATGCTTTGTCCCCACTAATTAATGTTTTCTTTATTTTAAACCTTGTCCCTCATGCCCACATGTTTTGTCCCCCACTACATTAAATAAATATATCAACCCAACCCATTACATCTTGTTCCACATGCCTAACATAAACAATTACAATATTCCCCCCACTACATTATGTCTTGTCCCCCACAATGTATTATTTTAATATTGTTAATGTCTAGTGGACAAAGCATTCAGATTGAATAATTGTTCAAATGTTCAATTCCAAAAATACCCCTCCGACCTTACTGAAATTACCAATTTACCCCTGAACGTACTGCAATTTACCAATCTACCCCCATCAACTATAACCAATTCGCCTAATCAATCTCAACCAAAATATAGCCAATATAACCAATTTCTAAACAGATTCAACAACAAATCATATGAACACAGATGAATCATACAACTTCAAATTAATGGAAATAAGTTAACCATATTGGGAACCAATCCTGGTTAACTTAGACCAAAAATGAATGAGCAAAGAGACAACAATACCAACAACAAAATACATGATTCAAACTAAATCAACAAATCAAAAACCAAAACAAACTCAAATTAAATTACTGGATGAACTTCAAACAAAGAATAAACATGCATTAAATCCATATTAAATAACAAACATGACAGATTCAAATGATTTAACCAACATTAACAATTTCTGAAAAAATACATAACACATGAAACAAACTGAAGAAATAATTAATTAAACTTCAATTTGAATCTAACAAACATTAAACTAACAATTTCACATGAACAAACTGAAAAATTAACAAAACAATGAACACGAACAAAACAAACATTTACCGATTTTAGATTTGAGAATATCAAAAACAAAATACGGACAAAAGTGAAACTCAAAACCCACTAACCGGATCGAAACGACGAACAACGACTGACCAACGACGAACTCGAACTATGTATGGACTGTTTCAACAAACCTCGACCAAAGCTCGAACAAGTGAGATGGTTGAGTCTCATTTTTGGACTGGACTGAAAACGACGAACACAAATGTGAAGCAGCAGAGATGGGGTTTGGTTTCGAACCAGATGCTCCACGGGGCTGGATGCAACAGGAGCAGCAGAAGCAGCTTGGTCATGAAGACGACCAGTTCTCCTTGCAGCAATAAAACTGACCTTTTAGCCAGGTGGTGCGTCACAAAATACATGAGAATCTAAAGTCACATGGCAAGCATCATGCGGACAAACTCCTCGTAATTAACTTGCCTATCAACTTCAACAACCCCATTCACAATTTCAAATCTCTTTGTGTATAGTGGCTGATACAACTTCTGGTATTTGGCTTCAAGTGCAGCTCTCTCTTCAAAAAAGTTTGCCTCCAATTCGTCATGCTCAGTCTGAATCTCCCTCAGAGCTTCAACACGTTTTCTCACATTCGGGGACAAACTTTCAGGCACGTTTGAGTGCTTCCCAGTAAGATCATGAAGTTTATTTTTGAGCACATTGACAAGGTTTGCTCGTTCCCCGGCATTCAAAGCAGCAGTAAGATCAGCAACATTGAAGTTATCCTTAGTGTTGCTCATTATTATGGATTGCGCAGCAATAAGGAAAGAGAGTTACAGAGAGAAATGCCTTAGCAACACAACGCAACGCAACACGCCTCAATTTAAGCTCTTCTGCTCCCTCCCTCCCTCGCGCTTACTCTCTCTCAGAAAAACCTAGCTGCTCGACCACGCTGGATGCAGCAGGAGCAGCAGGAGCCGCTTGGCTTTAGAGCAAAGGCGACGAGGCAGTGGTCGTTCATGTTGCTAGGTTTGGCTGGAGATGAACGACGAAGCTCAGGCGTGGTGGAGCTAGATCTTGCGACTGGAGGAGGAAGATGGTGGAGGGTGTGTTTCGTTAGTTGCTATGGAGCAGATGAAGCAGAAGGGTCGTTCATGGTTGGTCGTTCATAGGAGCTCGAGCTCGAGCTCGACGACGAAGAAGAAAGTAGCCTGCTTGGCATTTTGTTTGGAGCTGCCTCGCGTGAGGAGGAAGATGATGGTGAAGGAGCTGTGCGTGTGTGTGAAAGGGGCAGCCACCATGGATGAAGGTTGTTTGGAGTTTTTGAGAAGAAGAGAGGGGCTGCGGATCTCTTTATGTTTAGGGTTTTTGAGTTTTGTTTTGTTTTGTGAAATGCAAGATAGGGGGGTGTTGGGTCTTTGGGGTTATGGACCGGGTCGACTCGGTTTGAAATGGACCGGGTCATGGGGAAGGTTGGATATTTTTTGGGCTTGTAGCTTGAATTTGAAGAAGAGCCTAATTCCGGTTTTCTTTATATTTTTGCTCTCTTTTCTTCTTTTATTTTTTCTAAAACTAAATTCTAAAAATCCTTAAATTATTATTAAGTTATAAAAGCGCAAATTAACTCCCAATAACAATTAACGCACAATTAAGTAATAATTAAGCATAAAATTGTACATTTGGACATTAAATGCTAAAAATGCAAAAAATGCCTATTTTTATAATTTTTAATTTTTGTAAAACAAACTTAATTAGTAACAATTGTAGAATTAAATCCTACATGCAAAATGCGACATATTTTTGTATTTTTTATTAATTTAACAAATAAACACGCACAGACAAATACAAATAATTATCCAAAAATGTCACAAAAACTCTCAAAATTGCACACCAAGGAAAATCATTTTATTTTGAATTTTTTGGGAGTAATTCTTTCATAGGGCAAAAATCACGTGCTTACAAGCGTCCCCTTCTACATCTCTATATTAGTGTTTTTCTTTATTTCCAAAACAGTTGTAATTTCTTTCAGACTGATGTTAGTAGAAAATCATAGTGTATTCGTGAATTATGACACCGGATCCAGGGTAGTAATAGCAACAGTATTGGTAATAGTATATAAACAAAGAGGCTATTTACTTACTTTCGCATTTAGTTCTACTTGTTTTAGCTTATTTATTTTTAATCACTGAAACGTAAAGGAAATTGGTTAATAATACTCTAACGTTGGCTTGCCTAGTAAGTGTAATGTTAGGCGTCATCACGGTACCGATAGTGGGAATTCCGAGTCATGACACTTAGTGTTGCCGTGCTTAACTTCTTCTAAAGAAATTCAGCCTCTGCAACATGAGTCGTACGATTTGCATTAATTGCTTGGTCCTATAATATTTTCTCCAATAAAGCAACAAAACTTCAAAAATAACAAAGTACCTTAGAATCATATACTTATAATCTGATCGGAGTATAATATATAATAACTTTTTAAAGATTTTGTTGTGTGAAAATATGATATAGTAAGTATATGATTTGTTCTAGACAACATGTACAAGAATCATGATCCGCACACCATGGTCCAAGACAATTTTATGCAAATATTTTTCTCATGTGCTTTATTATTTTTACTGCTAGAGATATATTATTTGGAAGTGTTTGGTATTCATGGTATGATGCTTCATTATTGTAGTTAATATATGAATATTTTATTAAGTCTGTCATTTGGCAAGAAAAGATTTGGAGCATCTGGTGATCTTCTGGGATTTTTTAATTTGGCTTCTCTTACTTGATTTGTTGTCCTCTCACTAATTAGAATAGAATAATATTTTTCAACTTTTATTTTGTTTTCTTGATTCCTTTTTGTTTCTTTTCTTTTTCTTTATTGTCCTCTGACATATTTTATTCTTTTGGTTTCTTCGAGATGATATGCTTTCTTGATTTCTTTGATAACATACAAGATAATAATATTTGTACACCTCCAAGAGAGATTAAAGAAATATGTTATTCTTTCAAACAGTACGAAAATATCATATTATTTGTGCAGATATAAGTCATGCTCTAAAAAAAACTTAAATAAATATGTTATTCTTTCAAACAATCTCCGAAATCAAACTTATTGTAAATATGAAGTTGCTCTGTGACCTGATCTGCAAAGTAACATCTTTCAATAAATAGTTTATCATCGGTGCTTTGGTCATAGGCAGTTAGTGTTAGGATTGAAATATCAAGGCGTTATGTAAACGCTAATAAATAAAATATTGGTCGATGATAAATCAAAATATATATATATATATATATATATATATATACTAAAGAATCTTATTATCTTAATATGATTTGGTCAAGTGACCTACATCAATCTACTAATACAAAAGTAAAAAATTTATCGAGAGTAGAAATTTTTTCCCTAAACAAGACTCTCTTGAGGACTATATTATAGATGCTATTGTGTTATTGTATGAGAAAGAATAACAACAATAACAAACCAGTGTAATCCTACATGTGAGGTGTGGGGAAGATAATGTCTACGCATACCTTATCCCTAACTTGTGAAGGTAGAGAGTGAACGCGATTAGAAGCCCGTGAACGCGAAGCGTTGGGCACGAAGGTCTTCGCAAACGTGAGCAGTGACCTGCGACCGCGAAGGAGGGCCTGGCAGAAGCTTTATAATAGTGAGATCGGGGGTTAAGCTCAGTTTATTCGATTTCTCTCTTGTTGAGGCGATATGAGGTGATTTTGAAGGAGCATTTACGTCATTTATCATAAAGTAAGTGATTTCTACTCATTGTGACCATAATACATGGATTATGTATGAATTTAAATATTGAAATTGGTCGATATTATAGGATTTTGAAGAAAACTTAGAAATAATATTTTTAAGTTTTGACAACGAAATTGGACATGAAATTTGACATAAGTTATATATTTGAGTTCTGGTACTACGACTAATATTTATCTTTGAGAATTTTCGGAATCGTGGCTTGTGGGCCTGGAGGTTGACTTTTCGTGTGGAGATGAAAATTATTTTTAATTATTAAATTACGAGTCTTTGAGTATATTTTGATTGGTTTGCGCGTTCTTTAACTAGATTTGGATCGTTTGGTATTTATTTGAGGTGTTAGGGAGGCGTTGGAGTCGGTTATCGAATTTTTGAGCGAGCTATGTCTCATGTCTAACCTTGGAAGATGAAATTTAGCGTAAGTGCTTTATTTGTTACATGCTACGTGTTATGGAGCTACGCACATATGAGGTGACAAGTGTCTGTATGATAGATTCTTGATTTTGTTGGGGTAGACTTAGACTCGCACCATATTTTGATTGCACTATTTGAGTTATTCTTGCATGTTTAAAAGCTTTAATTTATATTTTAGCTTGAGACTAGACTTCCATAGAGTATTGAACTTTGTTATTTTAGATACTTGACGCGCTACTTGATTAGTCGCAAAAATTGTGAGTTTTATCAGGATTCGGGGTGCATGCTACTTGATTAGTCGCGAAAATTTATGAGTTTTATCGGGTAGGGCAACACTTAGCGGGGCGGGGCAGGGAAAAAATTTGAGAAAATACTAAATGGGGTAGAGTAGGGCGGGTCAAAATGTTAGCATGCCAAGGTTCCCCCCTCCCCGCGCCCTATTACCCTCCCTATTAACACTTGCAAACCCAAAAACACATCTTCTTCCAAGTGTGCAGTCGCCTCTGTTTTCCTTAGGTGCATTGAGGAACAAAACTGTTACAAATCAAGGGCCAGATTCCAACATTGAATATGTCTTGAGTCCTTTAGTTTGTTGTATCTTTGTCTTTTGTTATTTATTTATATTCTTACACGGCTTATTAGAAGCATTTAGTAAGACATCATTTAAGCATTAGTGTATAGCATGTTTGATTAGAGTTAGTCAAGAGTGTGGCTTTGTAATAGAGTTATTACAAAGAGCTTACAATATAGTTATTATAAAAGGTGAGGGATTAAGAGATTAATTCTTAGATTGCAATAGGTTGTAATGTGAAGTTTGCTCAGTTAGTGGAGTTGAAATCCTATTAGGGTAGGTCGTGGTTTTTAATTCCGTGAGCAGGGAGTTTTTCACGTTAATATTGTGTGTGTTTTACTTTCTGTCTATTTACCGTGAAAACAGATTAGTTTCTCTATATCGTTTGGTGGAATCCTAATTTCTATCGCACTGAAATCGTAAATAAAGAACATAAAGTCTTAAATCTTCAAAAAGAAATTAATCCCAGAAAATCCTAAATAAGCAAAGCTAAACAAGCGAATTGAGAAAGGCAAAAGGAAACAAAAATTGTCAAAACTTCATAAAAATCAAAAAACTAAACAAGAATATACATAAATATCTTTTACTTGGAAAAATGAAACACAAGCAATGTACCAATGTCAATGACGTGACTCACTTGAGAATAAATTCCCGTACATTTACTGTGATGACCCAAAAGGTTATCTCTTATTTTAGAAGTCAAATCTGTGTTTCGAGGTCTTTAAACCTTCTTTTGTCTCTTCTCGATTCGCGTGTGTAGTCCGAGTACGCTTCCGGAAAGCCTTTATGTGAAAATTTGAAAAAAATGCTAAATTTTGCCTTTAAAATAGAATTAAGTTGACTTTGGTTAACATTTTGGGTAAACGAAACCAGATCCGTACTTTTATCCGTAGAAAAATATGGGACTTGGGCGTATGCCCGGAATCGAATCCAGAGGTCCGCAACCCGAGAAATAAATTTTTGAAGAAAATTGTTTAACTAAAAACATAATGGTTTTTGGAAATTTATCGATGCTCGATTTCGATGGTATCGGGCAAGTATTTTAT